AGCAAACTTAATGAGAATGAGATAATTACTAGAAGGGTATAGTCCGACCAAATAAATTAACTATAGAGAGACTTGTGCTCATGTAACTCGTCTTGAAGCTATTAGACTCCTTTTGGTATTCACATGTTGCCTTTATTTAAATTGTATCAAATGGATGTTAAATCATCTTTTTTTTAAATGGCTATATAAAAAGAATTCAAATATGATGAAAATATTGCTTATGTTCCTTCGGTCGTTTTGGCGTTGGTTTCGTGTAAATCAGAGTTACGGTGAGGAATATATGAAAAAAACACCGGCACTAATCACATTGAAAAAACGATATTTTAAACGAGGTAAAAGAAATTATGAAAAATAAAATAAATAAAAATATTTAGCCTAGTAATCGATAGAAATAACATACTGAAATTTTAGAGAATCCGAGACACTTTTCTGCACAACCGATTTGACATTGAAACCAAATTTTCTTCCTTCTTCACTCAAATGTTTTTTTTTGTTAGACGAAGGCAACTTATTTAGAGGAGGTGAATAGATTCCCAAATAAAAATACATTTTAAAATTCTATTTTAAAAAACAAATGAAAAACTATGGCAAGCATAAGTTTTAGCTTAAATTACACAAGTCGTCTAAAGCGAACCGATTATTGGAAACTCGAATATGTGTAATATACCAAATGGAATACAATAAAACGATAAGAACTTAGTACAATAATTTCTCAATCAATCGTTTTACTATGATCACAATGATAACCTATTTCGAATGGAATTATTGATAAAAATGAAAATTAGCAAATTATTGAGCACTTTGTGTGCAATTGATTTTTCAGATTTTCCTTTTGATTTTGTTGATATGAAATACCTTTTATAATATAATTGATTGTAATATAATTAACAAAGCAATTTCAAGTTAAACAATCAAATAATTTGTCTATACGTATCAATTACGCAATCAACAAATTTATCAATTTGCCATAGAAAGTAAATGAGAGAAAGAAATGACGCAGTGATCTGTTTAGGCAGTTCACCAATCGTCCTCGATATGGCTACGTCTGTCCCCAATTTCAAATGGAATTGAGATATCAATATTACTTTGCAAAAAGTTGATTACAAGATAAATATAGCAATGCAACCCTACAAACCTAAATGTTTGTTCTTTATTCTAACCATTTCTCTTCCCTTGATCTCGAGCTCGACCAAGTATCTCGATAACACCAATTGATTCACCGTCTCATGCTACTCCTTTAAAAGAATCGTTGTTCTTCAAAACTTTTACTCGATCGAATCCAATTGTGTATTATCGTGTCCCAAGATTTCTAAACGATTCATTGTCTCGCGTTACTCCTTCAACAAAATCCACCATTCTTCGAAGCTTTCACTCGATCGAATCTGATATTTGTGAAAATCTTGTGAAAACCCCTAAATCAACATTATGATCTTTGAGGACAACCCTAAGGTTTTTCCATATGAAACCCCCAAAAATTCTCACACTACTACAGAAAACTCATTTAACAACAATTGGTAAATATATATCATCACGCGGGTCCATGCGTTATTGTGTTGAGTGTTATTGTAAGTGCGTTACTTAGAACATCAACATCTATAATACTCTACAAAGTTCTTTAAATGGGTCCCATATAATTTTTTTATATTATCTCACACTATCCAATTATTTAAACAACCCAACTCTATTCTTCAAATATCTTACAACTCATCAAAAAGTTTCATTGGACCCACAATATATGTTTACCGTGAAATTTGGTAAACAACTGTTAGTATTCTAAAACAAATATAATTTGTTGGTTACTCGCGGGATCGACTAGATTGATTCTAGGACATGTGTCTAAAGTTGTTTTACCAGTGTTTTTGGATATCAGTTCAATGTCGAAAAGATGAATATAACGAAGGTAAAAGTAAAGACAAAGGCTTGAAGATAAAGACATGAAATATTTTAAAGTAAAAATCGAGTGTTAAGAATTCAACTTAAACTTAAACAAAGAGTAAAAATACTTGATTTAAATATAAATGACTTTGAATATAAATTGGTGTTTCTATACGTACATTCTCAACGACTCTTTTCTCTAACACTAGTACTTCGAGTTTGTATGAGTGATTTGTAGAAAAGTGAACACCTCGAATCCTAATACAAAGATCTTAATTTATACTAATTCGACCCTAACGGTCTTTTTCTACAAAAGTGTCACATTCGAGTCTTGCACGCTTCTTCGAATCGCTAGGCTTCCACGCGTCCTTCCGGATAAGATTAATCCATTTGAATTTGAATCCTTCTTCAATTCGAAGCGCCAAAACAACAACATGACATGTTGAAACGACTCAAATTTGAATCTTCACATAATTTAAATCTCATATATTCCGCAATAAGACTTTCATCGTTGCTTAACGTAATCAAATTGTCCATAATTTGATCAGTCGAAATCTCTTATGAAATTTGGTCATATTCTCTTCCACAACCAAACTTCTTTCGATTTCTTCATTTTTCTCAATGTCATATGTCATCGAAATATTCCGCTAACAAATTGTCCCCCCAAAATGTGTATTTCGAAATACTTGAAGAAATAGACTTTTTTGCAAAAATAAACCTTCCATTTCGATGAAAAGTTGCTTCGTGATGACTATTACTATTGTGACGTCATGGTCATGATGACCATCTTTCCAAATGTCTCATCGAGACGTATGTAATTTAGTTTCCATCATTGCTACACTAAAGTAGGTTCAAAATATGACTTTTCCAAAAAGCAACCGTCTGGTCAGATTATTAAACACCAACACGTGTCCCACCATCTATTTTATTTGAAAAAATGAAACTGAATCGTTTATTCACTATAAACATTCCTTTCATCTTCAAAAAACACTTTTTACTCTCATTTTCTCTTATCTTCTCAGAAAAATGTGTGAACTTTCTCCATCTCCTTCCTTTAACAATCAACGTTCGTCTTCAAGCTTTATCATCAATGGCACCCACAAAGAAAAGCAACAAATATGGAAAAGACGTGAAGAACACTAAGGACGCTGCTTTCACTCCTATTCAACACGTCACCAAACCCATTCTTTCTGGAAATCAATAATTTGTTCCAACACTAATGCTTTCTGTTGAACAAGGCTATCTACGAGTCTCAGGCAATAATTCCTTTTACTCTTGCTGATAAAACCCTAGGATATATGAGCCCTATGTGTTTCACCATAAATTTCGCCCCTAACATTTTTAGTCTCATTATCATATCATATTTTATTATTTGGTCACAATCATCAATAAACATCCTCATTCATCACATTTTGCATTGTTAGTCGTATTTCAGTTGACCGAACGTTTGTTTAAATCGATGTTTGCATCATTTTATAGTTAAAAAATACATTATATTTCACTTCGTGCATTTTTATCTCTTTACCCGCTCCATGCATTGCTCTAAGTTGTTTATATGTCAATAAGATTGATATTCTGATTTTATAAACAGGTCGTTAAAATTGATTTGACATTGTGCGAAAAATTAACGAGAAAATATTTTAAGTTTTCACCTTTAACTGATTTTTTTATGAATTTATGTTTCGCGTAGATCATGACAGTGTGATCATTTTATTTTTTCGATACAGTTTGCAGTCTCGTTTTTAATTGTCAGCGTTTGGCCAACCTAATATTTTTATTCTTATTTTATTTTGATTTTTGGTCATTTGTAATGTTTTATTAATATTTGAGATCTGTATTTTATTTTAATGTGTTTATTTTATTTTTTGGTTAATTACGTATTATTTTTTTATCGTTTTTGGTTATTTGAGTCTCCATTTTTTATTTTAAAAAATAAAATTAAAAATATTTTAAATTGTGTTAATTTTGATACTTCCAGATTTTCGTGTTATCTATAATATAAAAAATTAAATGAACTTGGAAAATCCCATTTTTCTCTTTGCTACAAATGTTACACCTATTGTTTTTGGGGTTAATTTATGTCTAAACTTTGCTCTGTCTAACAAAATTCTGACTTGGTCCAATTATAACTATTAGTTTGTTCAATTTGTTAGTTTTCTTTAACCAATTGCACTTGAAATGTCGCATTCTACTTTAGATGAAACCAAATGTGAACTTTCTCATCTTCCCAATGCACTTCTTTCCTCTTCATCTTCTTCTTCCGTCTCCCTCTTCTTCTTCCATCTCTCTCTCTCTCTCTCTCTCTCTCTCTCTCTCTCTCTCTCTGTATCTAACTCTTTTGTTGTTGTGTTTTCAAGAAGTAGGAACCGAGATCGACGAAGTTCTAGATCTGGACTCAGCATCGCCGGTGAAGTGGTTGTCGAAATTCCAGAAGCTGTCCTTTCTGATACACTCAAAGATCAAATAAAATCTTTTATATTCCTCTTCGTTCAAATGATACATTCAAATAAATTTGCACCCGTTCAGATTCTCTAATCACTAACGCTCATATTTTGTTTAGGTGATGTTTATTTCTTTGTTACATTGTTACCGATTCTGGTTTGTTGCTAACTGTTATTTATTTTCAATATTGTTTCTGATTCTTCCTTGAAGGACGTTCTCTGCATTGTGCTGCATTGTCTAAGCTGAAAGGTATATTTGAAACTCAATTATTTATGTGGGTATTGATTTTTTATCTCCTTTATAATATGTTTATGTCGATTTTATATCTACCTACGATTTCTTTTTTCAGAGACATTGAGGAGTTGTCTAAAGATTGAGTCTGTTATTTGTTTAGGATGGAGAGAGTAGTTTCTTATGTTTTAACTTTTAAAATTAAGATTGCTCATGATTTTATTGAATATAATATATTGTTGTTTAGATTGAAAAGAATTTGTGTGTCCATGTCTTCTCAATTTTTTGTCATATTGATGTTTTAATGGCGTTTTGTACATTGAATCTAGAATTTGTGTGTCCTGTCTTCTCAATTTTCTGTCATATTGGTGTTTCCTGTCATAAGTTCCACTTCTTCATTTAAACACGGTGTTTAGTACATTGAATTTTACAGTAAAGTTAAGATTGATAAAATGTATTTTTGTTGGAGGTATATCCTCTTTTTGAATCATTTAAACATGGTGGTTAGTACATTGAATTTTATAGTAAAGTTTAAGATTGATAAAATGGATTTTTTGTTGGAGGTATATCCTCTTTTTGAATCAGTTGTAAAGTCCTATGGTCAAGCTTGTACTGGTATGGTTACAATATATTACATGGCAATTTTCAGAGCTGAGTTGCAAGACAAAATTAAGTTTTGCTATACAAGAAAAATACATTTATGTTTCTCGGTAGTTTCTTGATTTACTTGACTCAAATTAGTCCTACATATATAAAACTTTCAAACTTATCTCATATAATATATTTATCTGTTCTTCACAGAATTAACAATGCTTTTGGTTATGACGACAAAGTCAAGGATGAATTCTATGATATGTATGGGATTTTAACCAAGTAAAACTCAGCAAAAATGTCTTCCGTTATAGATCTTAAAGATGTTGAAGTTTTGTTTGAAGTAGCCGTAAATTCACGCTTGGCATGAAGGTTGCAGCAGGTTTTGGCGATTCTATTTGCAGGTTTTTGATTGCAGGTATTCCATCCTTTAACCCTCTTTTGTTTAATTTCATTTGCTGTTTAACTAATGACAATTTTCTTAAAAAAGTTTTTTTCAACAAGTTGCACTTCATGTTCACCTACGGTATATGTTCTCAATACTGATATGTGTTTCGACTTCCCAGTGCTTAATTGTGTTATAGCTAAGTTCACCTTGATAGCAAGTCTAAGCATGTTTTTATGATTTTGCAGGGCCTTATATTGGAACGTAAATCTAGTGACATTGTTGCCATTATTCAAGTTCTAAATCAGGTATGGAGGAGTGTATGATGGTTACTTCTTCCTATGTGATAAATTTCTTCACCAATGAGCGAAACAAAGAAATGCTTCTCAAATAGAAATAAAACAAAGCTTTAGATGAAATTGTAATGTTATTACCTGGCAAGATTGGGCAAAGTAAAAATCAGTCCATATAAGAATAGTTTTGGAATTGTGGCAAAAGTTATAGCTTTTTGTATTGACACTTCAGTTCAGAGTCAAATTAGTTCCACATCAATTGTCGGTGATGAAATTATAGTTATATCATTAATTGCATTTGTTAGAACACTTTTTCTTGGTAATGGTATATGATATGAACGAGTGTTGTTACTAGACTGAGTGGAAGGTCATATATGTCTTTGTTTAACTCTTTTTTATTGATTTCGTTGTTGTTAGACTTTGTTTGAGGCCAAAAAGTCAGGCATGAAGGATGAAGTTTAGAAACTTGTATCTGAGTGGCCTTTGGAAGTTCTTAAGCACAAAAATGAAGAGGAAAGAAAGGTATATTATCTTAGTTGTAAGGAAACTTTCGTGCTCTCATTTTAGTTCTACTGCGACTCTCTAAAGACAGTAACATGTTTTTTTCTGCTTTACTGACATGCATTGGCAACCTCTTTGAAATCTGATATCCTTGACATGGTTAATAATTTGGACGTGGGACTTGAGGCTAACATAAGTTTGGAAGACCTAAACCAAAGAGAAAGCATTCCACAGTAGCATGGGTTCATGATTTGATGACTTGAGGTTTTAGAATATGATTATAACTTTTTTGCTTTCATTCTTCTCCCCGAGTGCTCAAGGTTTTGGTAACATATTGGTAGCATTTAGCATGTATTTCAAAAACTAAAATCTAAATATCAATGTGTGAACAAAAATAATGTGGCATGTGCTTCCAGCCATGTGCAAGGAATTCCTTTATACAAATACAAGTGAGGATGCAATCTTGTCCTTGTTTGTAACCTTGATGACTTTATGTAACGCTCACTTTAATTTTATTATTTGTTTTCATGAACTTCACAATATAAATTAGGATTTGTCAGTATGAATAACTTTTACATTGAATCAATCACACTTGTTAAATCATACGAGATGATTGACTTTGAATTTTAACTATCTTTTAAAGTCATGCTATAAATAAATGTGATGTATTGTGTAAATGTGATGTCTATAAATAATTAAATTCTATAACTCGTAAAATAAACTTTTAAAGTTTATCTTTATATAACTTGTAAAATAAACTTTTAGAGTTTATCTTTATAGAAGGTCAGGGGTATGGTCAAGCAGGGGTATTCGCGGTGCGGTTTGGGCGGTTTTGAAGCAAAAAATCATCCGAACCGCAAGAGAAAAAAACATGCGGTTCGATTTGGTTCGGTTGACTTTTAAAAATAAATCCAAACCAAATCAAACCAAACTAATGCGGTTTGGATTGGTTCGGTTTTTTACAAAAAAAATTATTAAGTCATACAAACAAATACAGAGGAAAATATAATTTTGTATTTAATTGTTCGTACATTACCATAAAAAAATTTATAATTGTCAAAATAAGTTTATAATTTGATATATAAAATTGCGTATTATAATTTTATCTAAATCTAAAAAATGATATAAACAAGATTGCATTCTTAAATAAATATTATACAAAGAATACGATAAAATATATTTTGTGAAAATAATATTTATAAATGAATAATATTTTATTTTTTTATGATTTGTAAATTAAAATGAATATAATACAAAGTATGATAAAATATACACATAATACATGTTTATTTCTCTAAAGAATTAAAGAAATATATATTGGTTAGTAAGATTTTATAACATAATGCGGTTTTGTTTGGTTTGGTTTAGTTTATAAAATATAAACCGCAAACTAAACCGAACCGTGCGATTCCGCGAGAAAATAACCCAAACACATTCGAATCAAATACGGTTTTTTGCGGTTTCAATTTAGTTCGATTCGGTTTTGCAGTTTTCTATTGGACCAGTTTAGTTTTGAACACCCCTATGGTCAAGTACTTTTAAATGTTACTAATAGATAGATTTGTTTGATGTACCAAAGAATTTGATGGAAATGTCATCAAAATACACTCTCCCCTTTATTACATTTGTTGTGTACTCTTAAATTGGATTGGACAATTATTTATATTTTTGTGTTTGTTATTTCTTTTTCTACTATCAAATAATCAAGTTTTGGTTTATTAACAATTTAGTGAAAATGTAAATTCTGTAGATTTAATTGTTACAATTTGAAATAAAATTGATTTTAAAATTTTTAATTAGATTGCTTTTACATTATTCTCTATTAAGAAGTAACTTTTTTTCCTTATTTTCAAAAAATATCTTTTTATTAATATTTTAAAATTTTTATTTAATATTCTCAAGTAATTTATTTGTCATAATATTACTGCAATATATTTTCGTGCTAATTCTACTATTTCAAATTTGCTTTATTACACCACCACTGTGCTTCACAACAACATCCGAAGCAACTCCCTGTTCTCCGCAGAACCACAACAACACCTCACTTGAGTGGTAAATTTTCAATATCACTTTTTATTTAATTAGTTTTTTGGCTGTTTAATTGAAATAAATGTTGAAATTAATAGATGAATTTTTTTGTTGTTTTTTAGTAACTAAGTTTGAATTTGTTATGAGAGGGTGAATTTTTAAACTTAGAAGAAGAGAGGTTCAAAGAAAGAGAGGAGAATGTGATGTCACAGATATGGAACTTTCTTTGTTTTAACTTTCTATTCATTTACTTCATTAGTTTTTTTTTATTCATTTAATAAATGACATTGGATATGGGTATTGATTAGGACTTTTCAATATCTCTTAATTAAGAGAGACAAAGTTGCTGTTATAGGGTGAAGCACCGCCCCTAATCTATGTGTGGCCTTTCTTTGTTATTTCTTATTTATTTAGTAGAATCACATTTTTTTTGGGTCTTACAATAAGAATAAAGATATCAAAAAATCGTCTATTTAATTAGTCCCTTTCAAATTTCTTAATTTTTTAATTAGTTAATTAAATATTTATTTATATCATTCATTCATTTAACTATAATATATGATTTTAATCCATTTAAATTTGATTCTTATTTTTCATAAGACATTTAGCTTATTTCTCTATTATTCTGACGTTGTCTATTTGTTTGGAGTTTCATATGATGCAGAGATTTTTATTCGATATTTTGATGATCATCCGATACTTTGAATTTTATCTGATACCTTAGACTTACCTGATGCATTCTTCGCCTGTGATTTATTTTTATCTGATGCGCTTTCTGCTTGTGATATATTTTTACCGGATGTCTGACATACGCTTGTCTTATTTATTTGCTTGTGACTTTAATCCAAATGTTGTGAATTCTTATTGAATTTATTTGTCAAAGGTCGACTCTTGTTTGGTTAGATCGTTCTTTACCTTTAGCTCTTACCTTAGCCTTTACTCTCTTGTACATAGGATAATCTATTCATCTCCTACCCCATTCTTCATTTTAAAAAAACATCTTTCTTTTTCAAAACTTCTTTCTTTATAAACTTTATCCGCTTTCATAATAAACTTCGACTATGTCGAATGACTTTTCAAATTTCTTTTTTTCTTAATCAAACTTAAAACACTTAATAAATAAAGACGTGAATTGTATGCAGTTGAGTCTTATGGGAGGTTAGTGGGGCGGTTCATTTTGAACTTTACTCTTCTTTCATTTCCGGACTTTATTACGATTCAATTCGCAAATCCTTTTTCAAGCTAACAAAATACTTCAACTCATTGAAACATTTTTGTGCACTCGAGCACCTTTTTCATTTAAAACCTTTTCTAAGATTAGATATGATTCGTTTATAATCGAGATGTTATTTCTCTATCCCCATGGTTATCGATTTTTTCACTTGAGTACTATAAGTGTTCTCAAACCCTCTCTCATATTGGTTCGTAGTCTCTCTTTCTCATACCTTATGGGCGTTTAGACGAGTCTTCTCCTTAAAAATGATGACTTGTCTCTTCTTTTAAAAACAACCAACACACAATTTTGTTCTTTTCTAGAAGAACTACGAGTGCCATGACCCCTTATTACACAAAAGGGGTACGTAGGCACAAATATTCGCAACCGCAACGGGCACAATAATAAAAAACATTTCTTTTATTTGCAAATACTCATTAATTCATTCCTTTTAACAAGTTTAGTCTTTAGATAACACACTTTTCGATTAGAAACAAACAAAGTGGATCCTGCGGAGTACCATATATGTTAGGGTGCTAATATATTCCCTTTACATAACCGACCCCCGTACCTTGGTCTCTCTTTCATTTTATTTTGGGTTTTATTCGCTCCTTTTCCATTTTCCCTTTGGAAATAATAAAGTGCGGTGACAACTTTCACTAGTATAAGTTAAGTCAATTCATAGCTTAGACTCAAATTTTTACCATTGCATTTCGCTACAGTGCGACATTATGGTCCATGCTGGTGATCTGAAAAAACTTAGAGAATATTTTTCCACATATCATGGAACCAAACCCATAGCTAGTAAGATTAGTGCCCCCAAGAAAGTAGATGAAAATGATGACAAACCCCCCAAAGAATCCACTGTAGAAAATGCTCAAGAAGGATCTCCTTCAGGTTCTGCAAATGTAGAAAAACCTTTTCACCTAAATTATATGACTGATTCCTTTAGGCTCTTTAGGTCATGCCCAACAAAGGATATTAAACAATATCTCAACTGACTAGCTAAAGTCGAATAGAAAAAAAATCCCAAGTCTTGAAAAACATGGGTATTCTTAACTTGATCCAATTGTCGAAAGTTGGGGCCAGCTATTGCCAACACATGTTGATGTCGTCTCTACATTTCTGAGATAATATCTATAATACCTTTTACCTTCCTTGTGGAATGATTACCTCTACCTTGTTTGATGTTGCTGCCATTACTGAGCTTCGACCTACGAGGGAAACTTCTTGCCCCTCTGAGCAAGCTGAAAACACAATTGACTTCAAAGTTGAACATGCTGGCTTCACTAAATACACCGACCACTACCATGATGAAGGAGATGAAGTGTCAGATATCAAACATATAAATTTTCTTGCCCTATGGCTATCTAGATGTATTTTCTGCAGCAAATCTTTGCAAGTAGCCAAGAGATTTCTAACCTTAGCCAATCAACTTCACTTTGGTTAAAACATATGTCTTAGTGAATTAATACTAGCTGAACTGTATGAATGTCTTGGGGAAGCTACTACAACCCTGAAAAAGTATAAAGTAGGTACCAATTTACTGTTGACTGGCCCATATTGGCTTATCCAATTGTGGCTTAATGCCATGTTTGAACCTTCCCTATCTACTTCTGGAACAATAGACGAAATGGACCATGAGATTCAGAGTCGAACTATTGAAGGAACTATGTTAGTTTGATTGACCCCAAATGAGGATGGGAAGGACTTAGAGGAGTGCTTCATAAGATATGTTATGATGTTTGTTAAACGTCATAACTTTACTCCTTCGATGACTCCCTTTGCTAAGAGAACTCATGGTCCTGAATGGTTTACAAGGTCTCTTTATGACATTTCACCAACTCAAGAGGCAGGAACCTTAGACATCTGGAAAGCCTTTTTGCTCCCTAGGCTGATTGTCACAAGACTTATGCCCATAAAAAGTCATATTTGTTTACTTGCTTACCAACCTAATTTCATCTCTCGCCAATTTGAACTTTGCCAACTTATCCCTGAACTACTCTTTGAAAGAAAAAGCGCTATATGTGTCCATGGAATGAATTTTTCTCTTTCTGATCGAGATACACGCATGACTCGTTATGCCAACTTCACTGATTTTACCCCAATCTCTTATCATCCATCTTTCTACTGCATAAAAGACTTTTATTATTGGTGGAAGAAATATTATTCTGGGAACATGTTTGACACAACCCTCTTCTACTAGCATATGACAAAAGCTTTTGCCTCTGTGCATGATCAAGTCAAGAAAGGTACGCAGACTCACATTAAGGAGATCTAGGCGTTCCAAAAGTACTTTGAAAATGTCTATGACCCAACTAAACTTAGTCGAACCATATATAACGAAGCGAAAACTTTAAAAGAAAAATTCACAAAAATGCTTCCTCATTTGAGAATTCCCTCTTGTGTCAAACTTGAAGATATGTATGACTTAACTTTCAAACTTGAACCACCAAAATTCCCTAAATTACCCAATGTTGGTTTTGGCCAGACATTTTATCCTCCTTACCTATACTGGTTCATCTGTGGGAATTACCTTAACTATTTAAAACAACAGTCTAAAAAACCTGTTGAACAAGTGGTTCGACTAAGCATATATTGGACAGTTTCAAAGGCTTTCTTCACATTGATCTAAATCATGTCACGATGCTTTCCCCATAATGTGAAGGTATGGAACCAAAGGATCTCTTGATCCCTTCGATCATTTTTATCATTTTTCTTTCTTGATTGATACTAACATGTATTATCTCGTACTGTTCTTTTAGTTGTCAAAAAGAAACAATAGAAGAATTTTTTTTACCTCAATGACAGGATCAACGAATGCACCTAAGCAAACTACTACTTCATCGAAGAGTGCTATCCCAAATATCGAAAAACTAAATGCAATGTCTAATTTATAATTTGGTATTTCATTTTCTTCTTTTACTGTGTTACCTCTGTTAAATCCTTTGCTTCTTACAAGCTAGTCGAAAGCCTCCTCTCACTCCAAAGAAACAAAAATCAACTATTGAGATCTGAGAGGTAGTTGAAGATGATGAAGATGCACCGCCACTCCTTTGAAAACCAAAAAGTTAAAGAAGAATAAAGCGAAACTTTCTGATGAAGCTTCTTCCCAACCACCAAAAACTATTGCAGTCGAAATACTGCCCCATCTCCAAAAAACAAAAGCAGTTCCCAGCCATCTGGCAACGTTGTCTTCGAGCGAATTGAGGGTGACAATTCAAGCCCTGGAATCGAAGGGCTGAAAGTACGATCTCTTCACATTATTTTCTTCAATAATCATTATTCTCTATTCAAATTATCTCATATTCTATCTTTTGCAGGATGCTCAACCAATTCCTACTGGATCTTCAATTCAGTACTAAGTTCCTCCTAGCAGTGACACTGCTTTGTACCACCCTTTGTCCACCAATAAAGATTCCAACAAAGGATCTTCTACTGATGTAAACCAACTCGACACCGTTGAACAACCTGAGAAAGAACCTTCTCCTTGATCTAAAAGCGATCATGAAGAACGTCAAACTGCAACCAAGAGAGTTCCGGTCGATGAGGAACAAGATGACGATAACCCCACCGATTCCCCTCCAAAAAGGGTCAGATTTAATGAAGAACTGCTTGATGAAGATGAAAATTTTTCTGATGAAATTGAACAATACATGACGAAGAGGAAGAAGAGACACATGCTCACATTGATTTGAAAGACTACACTACTTTTGCTAATCAACGAGATGACAACAACATTTGACCAAAACCTTCCCAAGAGGAATTTGATACTTTGAAGAAAACTAATCCCCTTGAATATGTCAAGTTAATGATGACCAGAAGAGGGCCACCTTCGGACAAAAGTCACTCCATCCCTTCGACTGCTTCCAGTGGAGGTTCAAATGTGGGAACATTTGAACAACTTTTTCAAAAAGTGAAAGAAAAGATATTTGAAGCTGATTTGTTTGATATCTTAAAGAAGGACGCCACTGCGTGTTATGGGTTGAAAAAATTGATTAATCAAATCAATATAGTCACTTGTCCGACTGAAGTTGCTGAAGTCTTAATCGACATAACCAATTTTTTAAGAATCTTGAATTCTTTGTGTTTTAAACAAATTTGGATTTATATTTCATTTCATTTGTTGTTTGTATTATATTGTACACTAACACATTTTATTGTAACAAGTTATTTTAATCAACCCTATTACAACTCTTCTATTTTGGTATATCATTATTATATTTTGTTCTATATATGTTCATTTGTTTATTTCTTACATTCCCTATTTCACTCGCTCACAAGTTGATGTAGGTTTGCTCACCTGTGCATTTAAAATCTTTTTAAATGTGTCATGTTAATTATATGCATTTGAGTATTATTGTGTTTGTTCATGCATTTTTTAAGCTTCCATTCGTATAAGTTTTGATCAAGTTGTTATTTGTTATTGTGTAGTTACATGTCTAATTGTGTATTTGTTGCATTTAGCATTTATATCTTCGTGTTCTATACTCGATCTTTGATGTTCTA